GATAATAGGTTATTTCTATTGGCTTCAGATGTGACTTCTATTAGAAATATCAGTGTTGGTGGTCTGGATGTACCAAATAAATAGTTATCGGGCGCCTCTATCTCATATACTTTTGATGTGAGGGCTGAACTAACAAAAGTATTAGAATTATATTCAAATCTGTCTCCTGATCTGAAATTTTTATCTTTAAATTGAAAAGGAATCAATACTTCATTCATGGTATTACATAGGTTACATACCCATTTATAACCTGGATTAACTACTGTTGAGTAACAATTTACATACCCTAAACATTTTTGACATCTAACCAGATTCTCATTAGCAACTGGTAATGGTTTCTTATCAAACTCCACTGAAAAGGTAACGGGTATTATATTTTGATACCTCTTTATATCATGGGGTATATAATTATATGTACATCTATAGCAAGGATCATCATAATTAGTGTTTTCATCATAATATGAATTGTTATTTGAATTGGTCATACTTATTTTAAGGGTTAAAAATTATTTCTTCTCTCTATTTGTATTAATGCATTTTCTTTTAAATTTAAATTAACAAACAAATTTATTTCTTTTTATTTTCTAAATGTTCTCTCATTTCTTCTTTTGTCATAAATCTACCTGTTGATGCTCTCAATCTACTTACTGCATGTTTATGTCGACTTTCATGTAAATAAGTTTTATTTTTATATTCTGTTAATTTGTTAAGAAATTCTCTTCTTGCTTTTCTTAATCTTATGTATTTTACTTGCTTTGGATTTAAATACTTGTATATGCTATTGAGATCATCTTCTTCTGCATTGTAAATTATGTTTCTTATCTTATCTTCTTTACTTTTTGTAAAGTTATTAGTATCTACTTGTTGATTTAATGATGATAAACTTGCTGTACTTGAATTAAATGATGTGTTATTGTAAAGTGGTTCATTTATATTGTATGTTGGGTCATTTTGGAAAGTAAACTTATTTTTATTATTTAGTAGTTCTTTAATAAAATCTTCAGTTAAGTTTGTTGTATGTTTAGCTTCTTCTTCCCTTTTAGTATAATCTTCTTTTATAATAAAATCTTCTATAGACATTTTAATTTCTTATCTCAAAAAGGAAATTAAAATTTAAAAGTTTTAAAAACGTTTCAAATAAATTTTATTAATAACTTCTACCGAATATTACATAACATTTAGCTTTCCTATCACATCCAATACATTTACATACTTTATCACTTGATGAGTTTTCTATTAAATTCGGACTTTGATCAAAAGGGATACAAAGTGTTTTAGCTCCCTGTGTAATAATTAAATCACCTTCTCTAATTGTAGTTCTTTCTTTAATACTAATTTCACACTCTGTCTCATTACACCATGGTGCTTTAATAATATTCTTTTTATTTAAAACATCAAGTATTTTATCAAAATCTTCTAAATAAACTAACCGACTTTCCAAATCAGATTTTGCTTTATTAAACAAATCATTGTGCATGTTGTTTATTTCATTAGTTACTACATCTTTTATGTTATTAAAGTTAATTTGAATTTTCTTACAAGTGTCCCTTCTAACTAAACAAACTTCGTTATTTTTTAAATCTTTAAACCCAACATCAATTCTCAATGGAATACCTTTAAGTTCGCAGTTATTAAATTTATTGCCTGGTGTAACATTATCTCTTAAATCAGTTTTAACTCTAAATTCGTTTAAAGAAAATTTAACTTTTTCAATATACTCATACAAATTTTTCTTTTCATCCTCTGTTTTACTCTTAGTAATTCCACATGGAATTATCATGAGCTGTGTATGTGCTACTCTAGGTGGAGAAACAAATCCTTTATTATCAGAATGTAACATTGTAAGCACACCAATTGATCTAGTTGAAATACCCCAACAATTTTGATATACATAACTAAAAGTCTCAGAAGCTACGTCATCACTAACTTTAATATCAAACATTTTAGAAAAATTTTGTCCTAAATGATGAGCGGTAGCTCCCTGTACACCTTTACCTGTTCCAGGAATAAATGCCTCGACACTCAATGTATACTCAGCACCACCAAAAGTTTCTTCTTTTGACTTAACACCTGCAATAACAGGCACAGCTAATAAATCTTCATAAATTTTTCTGTATGTCTCAAGAATTTCTCTTACTTCCTCTTCAGCTGACTTTTTAGTGTAGTGAGCAGTATGACCTTCCTGCCACAAAAACTCTCTACCTCTTATAAATGGCAATGTACTTTTAACTTCCCATCTTAACACATTACACCACTGGTTTATTTTCAATGGTAAATCTCTATGAGTTTTTAACCACTTGGCAAAAAACGGGTAGATGATAGTTTCTGATGTAGGTCTAATAGCAACTGGATTTTGTAATTCAGAATTTCCACACTTAGTGATCCATGCTAATTCTGGATCAAATGATTCAAGATGTTCTTTTTCTTTCTCTAAGTGTGACTTACTGACTAACATTGGAAAGTAACATTCATCAACACCAAGTTCTTTGATTTTATTATCAAAAGATTCTTTAATTAAATTCCAAATATACATAGATGCCGGCCTCATAATATAACAACCTCTTATATCATGATAATCTATCAATTCTGAGTACTTTACTACATTTAAAAACCATTCTGTAAAATTATCTTCTTTTCTCGTTTTAATACCAAATTTTTGATCCATTATAAAATATTTTTCAATTATTTATTAAAATATTTTATAAAAGTAATTTTAATTAAAAACCAATAACGAATTTTTTTAAAAAAGATTATTTTTAAGTTAATTAAACTTTTATTAGTATATTATCAAAACAAATGAAATATTTTTATTTTTGATGTATCCTGAGAGGAAATACCCCGTTCTAACTTTCTTTGAAGACTTAAAGTTGTTTTATGTGTTTATTTACTTTTTATATTTTAAACTAAAATAATGTTTTGGTTTTGTCTTTAATATCATAAAACATCATATGAGAGAAATTATATTTAATATTAAAAAACAAAAAGAACTCTAATTAATGTGAATAATAAAACATTTTCAAATCTGTTTTATTAAAAAACATACGTTTATTTGTTAATTATTATTGTTTATTAAACTTTATAGATTTATTAAATTAAACTAAGTTTTAATTTTATATTTACAATATAATTATGTTTTAGGTATGTTACTAATGTCAAAGATATAATATAACATAACAAATAGTCGAAAATTAGTAATTTATACTTTAATTTCAATATTTTAAAATTTTATAGATTATAAAATTTAATGATAAATTGATTTTTAGTTTAAAAAATTCTTGATATCATTTTAAAATAGTTTTATTTTAATATTTTAAATAAATTTTAGATTCAGCTTAAAATATTAATTAATTCATGTAAATATCTAAGAAATTACATTATTATTTTTAAAATAGTTGTAATTTGCAATGTTTTATTCTCAATTAGTGTATATTCTTTTATTTTTTCATTTTATTAAATTAATCAAAAATAATCCTTAACACTTTAAAAAAGAAAAGTTATTTTTTAACTGTTCGATTTTCAATAAATCTTTAAAAATTTTATTTTAAGATATAAAATCTTACTAAAGTTTACACAAAAATAAAGCTCAATTTGAAAATGTTTTATTCTCAATAAATTTATATTTTGAATTTTTTATTATCTCATCATTTGTTAAATAAAATAAAACATTAGTCAAGTTTAGGTATAAGTATATAATAATTTTCTTTTAAGAAAAAGCTTATTATATACTATATTTCTTTTAAATATTTTATATAAATTAATAAGATATAGATTCAGATAAAAAAAGTTTTAATTTTTATAAAGTTCGATTTTCTTTTCTGATCCTTTTCTGATCACTTTTTAATTTATTTTAAATATTAATTTATTTTATTTGATAGTAGAAGCTTAGAGTCAGTTATAAGTAAAAACTGTCCTCTAATTTTTAAAGTTCGATTTTTTAAAAAAAAATTATTTTATTTAATAAATATTATAATTGTATGTCAGTTTAAAACAATGTTTTAAAAGATTTTTTAACTATAAATGTATTTTATTTTTATTAAATATCAGTAAAAACACGAATTGGTTTAAAATAAACACATAATCATTTATTATTTAAATCAACTTTAAATATTTTATTATAATTTTATATAAATAGAAAAATCTGCAACAGTCAATAAAAACTGTGGTATATTTTTGTAGATTCGATTTTAATAAAAGGTGTTTTTTAATATTTAAAGGTTTGATAAATAAAAGTTAATTTATCAAAATTATTTCATAAAATTAATTTAAAAAACTATTTTTTATAATACTCATTTCCTTTAATTATTTTAAATCAACTTTAAATATTTTATTATAATTTTATACAGGGGGACAATTGTACAACAGGTAATAAAAACTGTGGTAAATTTTTGTGGATTCGATTTTATTATAAGACATTTTCTAATATTAAAGGTTTGAAAAATGGAACTTATTTAAATTAAATATTATCAAATATAAGAATTGTATTAAAAACTGTTTCTATTTTATAGTATTTAATTCTTTTAATTATTTTAAAAACACTATAAATATTTCATTAAGATTTTATATAGAGGAACAATTGTCAGCAGTTAATAAAAACTGTGATAATTTTTTGTGGATTCGATTTTAATATAAGACATTTTCTAATGTTAAAGGTTTGAAAAATAAAACTTTTTAAACCAAAATTTTATAACAAAAATAAAATAATAATTATAGAAAATTATTTATGATGAAAATATAGTATGATTTGTTAAGGCTTAAACTATTTTATTATTAGAATTTCTTTTTTAATTTTCTTAAAAATTTTACCCATAAAATTCATAATGAATAACAGAAATAACATAAAAATTTAGTTGATAACACACCACAAATTATTAGTATCTCATAAAACTTTTAAATTATTAGATAAGTTGGTCTTAAGATTTTATTAAAAATTTTTAATTTTTTAATTAGTTTATAGAAAACTTATAATTTTCAATAATAACAACAGTATTTTACTTTTCAAATTAATTAAAAAATTAAAATTTGATTTGTTATAAAGAATAAAACAAATCAAATTTAAATTTTAAATAAATATTTTAATGAAAATATAAATTAACTTTTAATAAATTCTAAATATTTAATCAAACAAGTTATTAAATTTCTTGATATTTATCAGATTTGTTATTTAATTTAAAGAATTTTTTTATTTAAAAATTTAAATATTTGCACCCTTTTTATTGTAGATAATGAAAAAACCAAATTGTATAATTAAGTATTTTATTGTAAGTCACTTTATATGTTCATCATTTTTTTATAAAAATAATTTTGTTTAAAAAATTGAAAATTTTAATATAGTAACGATTTAAATAAAAGCTAAAATGATAGAAAAATCCTTTATTATTTTGATTCAAATTTTTTGTTATAAGTAAAAATGATTTAAATAACTTTATTTATTCACACTTTTTTAATTAATAAAAAGTTTAAAATATATAACTCTAATAAAATTTTTTAATTAATAACAAATTTTAAAAAGAAAAACTTTTTTTATATTAATTTTTATTCTAATTTCTTTATTATATGTTTTTGTATAAAACCAGTAAAATAACTTTGTTTATTTGTTTTTCATGTTATTATTAAAACATTTTAATGATTTTTTTTACTTTATATATCTATGCTGTACCGATAATTTTAAGACATCAACCGATTATTGTTTTAAGAATGCAAATTTCTAAATGATTTTTCTTAGAAAAAAATTTTTTATAAATTTTAAAAAATATTTTCACCCACTAAAACGATGAGTTGAAAAAGAAATGATGATATGATGAAAACCTTAAAAGAAGAAGCTTTTAGAAATATTAATGAACGTTTCAATTTTGATTTCTGTAATTTAAAAACATCTTTCATTCAAATTAAGATTATAATTAACAATAAAACCTTTTTCTATAACATTATATATTCTCTTTTACAAATACTATTGTATCTGTTTATATTGTTTGAATTTTTAAGTGTTTATTAAAATAAAAGATGTGTTTTGTAAATTATAATTTATTAATACTAATTTTTATTTACATTGATTGTAAAGTTTGTTAATTAAAAGGTATAAATTATTTATGGTGTGTTTTATAATGATAAATGATATTTAATATAAATTTGCTTAACAAAAGATTTAAAATCACATAAAAATAAATTTATGATCATTAAGTATTTTTACTTAATACATAGTTTATTTAATTATAAACAATAAGAAAACTCAAAAAATTGATTTTTATATTTGAATGTTAGTTATCATTATTAACAAAGACACATTTTAAATTAATATTATTTTACTTTTAAATATAATGTAATAAAAAATTATTTGAATTATACTCTGATTTTATAAAAAAGTGTTTATTTTTTAAGCTTCCAATACATAATTGTTTCTTTTTGTAGATATTTTTATATTATTAATTTATAATTTAATAAAATAATAAGTAAATTAGTTTGATTTAGACAAAAAACAATATTCATTTATAAAATATTTAATTATTAATAAACCATTTATGAGATTTTTACATTCAAATTTAAATATTTTAAAAAATTATAAAATATTTGTACAATCAGCATTTTGTTAAACATCAAAACAAGATCTTTTTATAAAGTTCGATTCAAAATTAATTAATTTTTTAAACATGGTGTTCATTTTTAATTTATTAATTAAAAATTATCCAAAGTTTAATAAAGCAAGATTCATTAATAAAATATTTTATTCATAATAAATTTATTATTAAATTTTTATATTTTAAAAAATTATAAGTATAAAGTTTGAAAAGCGATTAGATTAAACATAAAACCTATTTCTTTTTATAAAATTCAAATTCTCGATTAATTTTTATAAATTATAACTCTCAACAAATTTACTATGAGAATTGTTTTTGATTTTAATTATTTTATAAATTTATAAAATATTATACACTCGGATTACTGTTTGAAAATTAAACAGATATCCTTTTTGTAATGTTCATTAGTTTATTTGTTTAAACTTTGAATAATTTTCAATTTATTAATTAAAAATTATTCAAAATTTAGACAAAAAACAAGATTATAAATTACAATTTTAAGTAAATTTATTATGAGATTTTTATATTTAACTTTTAATTATTTGATAATTTTTAAAAATATTTACTTAATTTAGCTCTGCTTGAACATTAAAACAGGATCCTTTTTATACAGTTCGATTCCAAATTAGTTTATTTTTTTGAATAATTTTTAATTTATTAATTAAAAATGAACAGTAAGTTTATACAAAAAACAAGATTATAAATTATAATTCTCATTAAATCAACTATAAAAATTTTATATTTTATATTAAATATTGTTATGTTAGTAAGCTAATTTTTCTTTCACTCTCTAATAATTCTATGCTAGTTATATTCTTTGTTATTCTTTGAACTATTATCGATTTTAAAATCATTCTCGCCATAATTATTTGCATGTAACAAATCTTTGTTAATCATTTTATTAATAATGAAAATTTAACTAAAAATCTTATTTGACTTTTTTGACAGAAGTTTCTTTTTCTTAAGTAAACTTTATCCCCATAAACATAGAATATTAAGTTTACGGAATAAATATTTTTTTTAAATTATAAATAATTCTTCAAATAGTTCTCTGTTAAACATAATATAGAGCTCTTTTTTATAAGGTTCGATTTTCAATTAGTTAGTTTTTATAAAAAATTGAATAATTTTTATTTATTGATTAAAATAAGAGCACTTAGTTTAAAAAAAATCAAGTTTACTTTTATAAATGAATTTATTATGAGTTTTATATTTACTTTTAAATATTTTATAAATTTATTAAATATTTATAGAACTAGATCTCTGTCTAAACATTATAACAGGATCTTTTTTATAAAGTTCGATTCCCGATTAGTTTTTTTAAACTTTATATAATTTTTAATTTATTGATTATAAATTAAGTTTATTTTAGACACAAAAATTTTTAGTATATTTAATTCTCAACAAATTTATTATAGTTTTACATTTTAAATTAAATATTTATAAAAATTATTAAATAGTTGTACAATTGGGTCTCTGCTTAAATATCAAAAAGATCCTTTTTATCAAATTCGATTCTCAATTAGTTTATTATTTTAAACTTTAAATATTTTTAAATATTAAGAATGTGATTTAACTTTAATTCTGTTTTTATGGTTCTATTCTCAGTAAAGTGATTTTTTTAATTTTATATTCCACTTTAAATATTTTATAATTAAATTAAACAAGCGAGTAAAAGATTTTAATTAGAATTATAATTAGATCTGTTTTTTAAACATCAATTCCTACTAAAGTTATTTTTAAGAATCAAAAATTTTTAAATTCAAATTAATTGTTAAAGATTTATAGTTAGTTTTGATCAAATTATTTAATTTTTAATATTAATCAATTTATTATAATTATAAAATGTTTTATACTTTTATTAAATAATTTTAAAAAAATTAAAACCTTGTTTATTTATTAAAACTTTAATTTTTTTAATAAATTAAACAATAAATGTTTTATATCGTATAATAATATTATTAAATTTTAAAATATTTTATATATTCAAATTTTTAATAAAAAAGATATTAACAACTTTAATCAAATCATTAAGATTGACATACTTCAAAGGTTTACAAGCTTAGTTTATAGCTTTCTTCATAGACTTAATTTTTTTAGTTTTTATATTTTAAACTAAACAATGGTTCAGTTCTGTCTTAGATATCATAAAACAACATACAACAAAATTAATCTTATTAAATTTTATTATTTTTGTTTGCTTATCTCAGCCATTTTTTCAATATAATTCTCTGCCGGTCTATCTTCTTCTCCTGTAATCTCTCTTAAACCAAAAGTATAATCATAGTTAAGTTCTATTATTTTTGAAATTTCACTACTGTCTATTATATCTGTGCCCATGTGTTTAGAAAGTATACTTCCTCTATTAATTATATCAGTAACTATCTTCTCTGCAAATGATTGAATGCCTTTTATGCCATCTAACTCTATTCTCTTTTTATTTAACTTTATTAATTTTTCTGCTGGTAAAAAGTGTTGATTTCTTCCCATTGTTTTTTTATAACAACTTTTTAAATTTTTATTAAAATTTTTTTATTAGAGATTTTGAATTTCAATTATTAATTTACTAAAGAGCTTATCATATTTTTAATTTTAATAATATTTTTTTCAAAATGATACATAAAATATATTGATTGTCCTATAACATCTAAACTTAAACATTATTTTAATTTTAAATATAAAAACAAAATACTAAATAAATTGATAAATTAAAAAACTTAAAGTCTTTAAAATAAGGTAAGTACATCTCATGAGTGTATCTTTAATAATTTATAAATACACTTAAGATTTAATTATAATTACAAAATAATTTAATCAATTAATAATATTAAAAAATTATATATTTTTATAATTAAGAGTTTATAATAATATTTAATAAATATTAAAAATTACACTAAAATTTTCATTTTATAAATTTTTATATAAAATTGATAATCTATAAACTCATTTATTAATTAATAAAACAAAAAAGTGTTATTAACATTTATAATAAAATTAAAATTTTCTAATAAAAAAAGAAATTTTCTTTCATTCCAAATATGTCAATAAAATATCCAAAACAAACTGACATTAAATATTCAAAAATATTAAAAACAGTCGATTGTTTTTTATTTGCATTTTATAGTTATTAAAATATTTTGAAAGAGATAAAAATTCTTAAAGAAATTAATTATTTTTTGTTACTTTATCGAACAAATTTTATTTTTTTATTTAAATTTATACAATTCATACAACCCTTAATGACAAGACGGAAATCAGACCAAGAAAATAGTGATGAAGATATTCACTTATCGATAGATTTGAACAGCATTCTTGATTATAGAAGTCTGTCATCAAAGAGAGAACGGAATTCACTTTATGTACTTACTAAGAAGTTTGTCAAACTTCTTACATGTAGTAGCTCAGAGCAAACTATTAACATTAACAAAGCAGCACAAATTTTGGGAGTAGAAAAAAGACGTGTATATGATATAACAAATATTCTTGAAGGAATCAATTTTGTATCTAAGTGGTCTGTTAACTCAGTCAAATGGCATGGTGGAAGTACAGAGGGGATATTTGATAACAACGAGTCAATTTTAAAAACGCTTGAGATCTCGGGTGAGAACCGGGTCAATATGAGTACACTTGAGACCTATGAAAAGAAATTGGATGAGAAAATTGACAATCTTCAAAATGAATTAGAGAAACTCTCAGCTGATGAAAATAGGCCACTTGCTTATATAACATACGAAGACATTAAAGACATAAATGATTTTGAAAATAAGCTAACTTTTGCTCTTAAAGTACCAACTGATGCTACAATTATATACCCGTACTACTCTAAGAGTTTATACAGAATGAATGCAAAGACTGAGAAGGGTAAGATTGAGGTCTTGTATATCGATGATGAAGAAGAAGGTAAATAAAATTTATTTGATTTTTAGAATTCTTAAAAGATCATCCTTTCCTTCTCCTGTCAATGAACTTAATTCAACACTCTCAATATTTGAATAAAATTCTTCAAAGTATGTTGCCATATTTCCTATGTAACTGACATTTTCAATTGGTCTATTTTGTAATACTTCCAATGCATATTCATAATCTTCTTTAAACTTTTTAAATTCTGTATAATCATTCATATCTGATTTATTAAGAATTAAAATAATTTTAAAATGTGGGTATTTTTGAGAGAATGTAGCCGCAAAAATTAAATTAGACATCAATAGATATAAACTACTTGAGTATGATATTTGATGTTGATTTGCATCAATCACAAATAATATGGTAGTGTCTTTAGGATTAAGTGTATTAAAAGTAAATTCTCCTGGAAAGTTCCACATAAAAGATTCTATTTGTCCTGGTGTATCAATAATAGTGAAAAAATGTTCAGACGGCTTAACAAAACTATCCTCAACAGTCTTATTCATAAAGAAAAGGTTTAATGAAATGTTAATAGCTCCATTAGGCCCTAGATTGTATTCCTTCATCACTTCTTTAATATTAACCTCATCTCTTATATCTAAATGACAGGGCATTTTAAGATTTAATACAGCTGGATCCAAATTAATTCCTTTAATCAAACCGTTTATATCAGAATTTTCTTTTGTTGTTAAAACTTTCTCTTCTATTATCCATGAATAGAGTCTTTGACAAAATGTTGTTTTACCAGAACCAGCCATTCCCACAACTACAAATGTTTTCTTTAAATCTTGTCCATCGATATTTATTTTAGTAAATTGTGATTTCAATTCACTCTCTATACTTTGATAAGTCATTGGGGTTAAAAATTTATTGATCTATTAGTTTTATTATACGTATTACTTCATCGTAAATAGTATCCATCAAAGGAGATTCATCTAATCCTTTTGTAAGTATAACATCTTTATGTGTATCCACGTCGACAAAGGTTTTTGTCACTTTAAAATAAGCTTTTATCACTTTCATTTTGTTAAAAATATGATTTTCAAAATGATTTATAATAATATCTTGTGGTTTAGATGATTTTGTTGATAGTATCACTATCTCATAGCCATCAGGACAAGATTTTGTTACCTGATCAAGTATTATACAAAATATGTCGTTTTCAGTTACTTCATTTCTTAAAAAAGTAATGTTTCTAGAACCGGTGAATAAATAATTTTTTAAGCAAATACAAATAACTATGTAAATTTGATTGTTTGTTTCAATTTCTCTATTTAATTGATTTGGATTTAATATTAGTTTTTTATAAGTGGCATCATAAGTATTATTTTCTCCATCAATTATCTTAACAATACCTTCATTTATATCACACTGACTATTTAACATAAACACAGCCCCACTTAAACTAGCTTTTCTAACAAAACCCTCACAAATATCACATAATCCATAATTTGGATATACAAATGGACTTTCTGATGAATCATACGAAGTTACCGATTTTATATAAGAAATTATTTTTTTATAAGTATAATAAGCCGGTTGATCTAAATAATCATCATTTGTATTCATTGCTATAGCATGACCTATAAAATTTCTTGTAATTGTACTTAAATTATACTTTTCAAATTCATCTCTCATAGTTCTATGACTTGTTTTATCTCTTAATTTACCTGTCATTGATCTTATATTATAAAAAAATCTAATAAGTCTACCTTTCTCTAAAAATCCAATTAGGTTACTTTTTATTGAAGTTATCTCACTGCGTGGTATTGGATGTAACTGATCACTGAATATATAAGAAGCCACAATTGGTGAAAATTCAACTAATGAATCGATTTCATACTCTAAAAGTAAATCTTTTAAGTTTGATTCTAATAACAAAAGTTTAGGACACATATCTATATTCCACTGGTGTGACTTAGTTGTTAATAACTCATTAAATTTATCTTTATCTCTAGTAACTGATTTTATAAAATAACCCTTTTTTAACTTATCTTCAAGTTGGTGTAAGTCATATGTAGCAAATTCACTACCATAATTCTTATTGCTATCTACAACTAAAACTTTTTTCCCTCTCTTTGCTAATATACAGCTTAATATTGTTTCAACTGGTCCTGTTCCCAGAATTATATAATCATAGTTGTTCATGCTAACAAAATAATTATAAAATTAATTTTAGAAAACAAACAAATATTTTTAATTAACTAGAGACTTTAAATTTTATATAAAAAATTTTTTACATAAATTTTAATGAAAAAGTTTAAAGTTAATTGTTTAAAGTTGAAGTGGTACAGTCCTAGTCAGATAGAATCAATAAGTGTATGTGAAATTACAGTACCAAAATCACTAGATCGATTAGGATATCCAGTTACTAACGGTATGAATGATTTGAGAATGGGTCCACATTCAATGGAACAAAAGTGTAAAACCTGTTTAATGAGTTTTCTAAACTGTCCAGGTCATTTTGGTCATATTAATTTACCAATGGCTATGATTAATCCTATGATGAAAGATTTTGTAATTTTGATTTTAAATGCGGCATGTTCAAATTGTGGGTTGTTTAAAATCATGGAGCAGGAAAAGATCAGCGAATATCAATCTATTTTAAGTTATAAGCATAAATTTGATGGTATTATGGATACGCTTAAGGATGTTGAGAATTACTTAAAAGATAATTATAATGAAAAAAATGATAATTTTGATGGATCTCCAACATTTGCATTCTTAAGAAAGTGTAGTTCTAAAAGAAAATGTCCTCTATGTAATACTAAATCACCAAGATATAAAAGAATTAGTAGTAGTATGAAAGTAGTTGAAAATGAAACATTGAGATATGTAAGTGTAGCAAGAATTAAGGAATTAATAGATAATCTTGAAAGTAAAGAAAGTTCTTTATTAAGAGAAATGTTTTCTAAAGGAAAAAAAGAGTTTAATGAAGGTGAGAGATATCGAGGATTAAGTGATATGATATTTCTTGAAAAAATGTTAATAATTCCAAACAAATTTAGATTGCCTTCTAAGCTTGATGATGATGTTTTTGAACATGCTATCAATACAGCATTAAATAAGATATTATCACTTTCTATTCAATTAGCAATGTATTGTGAGGGAGAAACTAAGATTGAAGTTAATTTGGATACACTTGAAGCTGAATTACAAAATGAAATATTAAATTATTTTGAAGGTGATTCAAGAGGTAAAAGTAATATGAGTCACAGAGCTGTATTAGAGAAGAAAGAAGGTTTGTTTAGAAAAAATATTATGGGTAAGAGAGTTAATTATTCTGCCAGAAGTGTAATATCACCAGATCCTAATTTAGCAACAGATGAAATTGGAGTTCCATTGATATTCGCAATGAGTTTAACTTTTCCAGAAAGTGTTACTGAACAAAACCAAGAACGTTTAGAAGAAGCTGTTTTAAATGGATCAAAAGTTTATCCCGGTGCCAATTTTTTAACTTATAAAGGTGCATTAATTAATTTAGGTTATATAAGTAAAGAAAAAAGATTAAGTTATGTAGCTTTATTTTTAAATGAGCCAATAATTGTTCATAGACACTTAATTAATGGTGATTATTGTCTGGTTAATAGACAACCAACATTACATAGTTGTTCATTAATGGCACACAAAGCTAAAATACTTAAAAATGAAAAGACTATTAGAATGCATTATGTAAATTGTAAGCCTTATAATGCTGATTTTGATGGAGATGAGATGAATATTCATGTGCCTCAAGATTTGATTTCTAGATCAGAAGCTATGGTTATTGCTAGTGTGAGAAATAATTACTATGTAGCATCTTCTGGTAATCCAATTAGAGGATTAACACAAGATCATATTGTTGGTGCTGCTTTCTTATCATTTAAAGATACTCTTTTTACTTATGAAGAATATTCTAAAATTGTTTATGATTCTTTGGCTGTAAGTTTAAATTATGGTAAAGTAAAGTGTATTAATCCAGCAATTATATCAAAGGATGTAAGATACTACACTGGCAAACAGATTATAACAACGATATTGTTAAATCTTAATATTAATTTAACTGTTTCTATAAAAGGAAAGTTAATTAATTCACAAAGTATTTTTGTTAATTCTTATTTTGTTGATGGTATTTTGGATAAGAATAGTCTTGGACCAACTACAGGATCAATACCAGATGCTTGTGGTAAGATTTATGGGATGTCTATTTGTGATACTTTGTTAACAGTTTTTGGTAAGATGATAAATTCATATTTATTTTTCAAAGGATTTTCTGTAAGATTTGATGATTTGTTAATTAATACAGAAGGTGATAAGATTAGAAGAGATATTTTACAAAATGTAAAAGATTCGAGTAAATTGGCAACTGATATACCTAAAATACTTAAAGATGGAAATAACAGAAGCCATTTGTATAAAAATCTTTCAGTTAATAACATGTACATTACAATTCAAGCTGGTGCTAAAGGATCATTAGTTAATTTATCACAAATATCATTATCATTAGGACAACAAGAAATTGAGGGAAAAAAGGTACCTGTTACAATTAATGATAAAACACTACCAATGTTCCGAAGATACGAGCATAATGATAATATAGCTGCGGGTGGATATGTAGCAGAAAGATTTTTAACAGGTTTAAATCCTGGTGCATTTTATTTTCATTGTATGGCTGGTAGAGAGGGTTTGGTAGATACAGCAGTTAAAACAGCGCATTCAGGTTATTTACAAAGAGTACTTGTAAAATTTTTAGAAGGAGTGAGAATTGAATATGATGGAACAGTAAGAAATTTTGATAAAAGTATAATTCAATTTTATACAGATGATATGTCGTATGGTAAATCTGTTGGAATAATAGCAGCACAATCTATTGGTGAACCATCAACCCAAATGACACTAAATACATTCCATCTAGCAGGTGTTGCTGGTAGAAATGTAACACTTGGTATTCCCAGATTGAGAGAAATTCTAATGTTTGCAACTAAAGAAATAAGCACACCAAGAATTGTTATAAAGAGTGATGTTGATACATTTTCTGAGAAGTTTATTAAAAAATTCCACGTAATTTATTTGTATGATTGTATTGATAAAGTAATTGTGAAAAATGTAGTTGAATTGAATGAAAGATCTTACTGTAGAAATGTGACTGTTGAATTTTTATTAAACAAGCCAACAGAGAGTGTAATAAAGAAGATCAAGACAATTTTTGTTAATTTACTTAGAAAACATATAAGTAAGAATGGAACAACATTGTCTAAGACATCTAAAGTAAAAGAATTAAGTACAACAGTTATTAATAAAGATAGTCAATCATCCGATGAAGATAGCATTGATCAAGATGAAATCAATGAAGAAATTGCAGTAGAAAAAGAATTAGATCAAAGCTTTATTGAAGATGATGAAGAAAAGGAATTAAATCTTAAAAATTCTGTTAAAGTAACTGATAACAGATGTGTAATTAATTTAATACTTCCAATTGATTTTAATATGCTGTTTAAACCAGTAATTGAAGAAATTACTAAGAAAATTATTATTAAGAAAACAGATGGATTTACAGACGGTTATTTAGATGATAATCAAATGATTTTAAGTGGTAATAATTTTTATGGATTCTTCCTTTTATTAGATAAGTTTAAATATGATCAGGCACTGTTTTATAACTGTACTTTTAGTAACGATATTTACTCAGTGTATAAATATTTTGGAGTAGAAGCTTGTAGACAGACAATAGTAAATGAAATCAAGAATGTGTTTAATGTTTATGGAATATCGATACAACAGGTTCATTTAGACTTAATAGCAGATTTTATGACAAGGAATGGGACATTTAGTGCTTTCCATAGAAAAGAATTTAACTTTGAAAGTATTTTACAAATGATGTCATTTGAAAGTTGTTATTCTAATTTGAAGAGTTCTGCTATGTTTAGAATGAAAGATGAAATTGAAAGTCCTAGTGCTAATTTAACTGTTGGTAATTTAATAAAGAATGGTACTGGATTTACTAATATTCTTTATGATTTGTCTTCAAAATTTGAATAATAAAAATAAATTGTTTTTATTGATTATTGAATTATAATTTACTTTTTTAAAAATTATTAATTTAATTAATTAACAAAATAAGGCTATTAAATTCCTAATAAATAACTTTAATTAATATATTTATTTTCTATAAATTATAACAAAATAACAATTGAAAGAATGAATTATTATTGATAATAAAAATATGTGATTTATAAAGAATATCATTAATTGTATTATAAAACTCCAATGAAATAAATTATAACTTATTTTTAATTAATAAACTCTATTAAGAAAATTGATATCAAAAACTTAACTATTATAAAATAACAAATATAAATATAAAAAATAATTTACCCCTAAAAATGACAAATAATTACCAACAACAAAATGATCAAGCATTTAATCCAAATTATGTACCAAACAGTTTAGATAACAGGACACAGCATAATCCGGATTATAATAACAATCACCCTAATGATAATCGAATGTCTTACCAAAATTCAAATAACCAGATGCAACAACCTTTTGAATATAATGATCAAGCATTAAATCCAAACAAAGCACCATATGGTTTTTATCCAGAAAACAGGACACCGTATAATCCGGGTTATAATAACAATCAGCATTATGATAATCAAATGTCTTACCAAAATCCATATAATCAGATGCAACAACCTCTTGAATATAATAATGCTGGATTTTCTCAAAATGATCCATCTTGTAAAGAAAAAGATGAAAAATCAACTTCATCTTTCTGGGGTACTATTTTTAGTACAAAATTTTTAATATTTTCATTAATTGTTTTAATAATTATAATAAATAAACTCGAACTATCTAATGATAATTATGAGATTAAAAATTCTGAAGATGGTTTATTTATGTTAGTGTTTATTTTAATAGTACTAATAATTCTAATTTTATTCATAAAATTAATTATATATTTAATCTGTTAATGAATAAACAGTATTTGATAAATTTTGTTTTCAACTAATCCAAGTTTTTTATATAAATTTATTTAATTTTTATAAATAAAAACTTAAAAATTGTTATTAGAATCAAACATAGATTAGAACAAACATTACTTTTTATTAATGTTTGTTCTAATCTATGTGAATATTTAAGTTTCAATTGAGTTTTCTATATTTATAAGTATGTAAGTTTTTTAAAAATCTATTTAAAACTCAAAATGATAGTGTTTCCTTATTTAAACACAAAATTTGTTATTAAGCGAATTGAAGAATTCAATCAGAAATTAAATTGATCAAAATTTTTTTAATTCTGATCAATATTGATTAAATGATTAATTAAGATTTGTAAAGATGAAAAATGAAAATTTATGAATTTCAAAAACAAAAAAAATTTAGAGATTAACAAAGTTAGAATAGATTTAAGTGGTAATTTTAGTAATAATTAGTTTTAACACCAATATAAAATTATATCTTGTTATAAAACATATGATTTATTAATTAAATAAAATAAATTAATTATAACTTTAATTTTTTAATTTGATTTATAACACTTATTAAATGTATTAAAGAAAATATTGTGTTATTCTTAAATGTTCACATACTAACTTATAATTTATAATATAATTTTAAAATAAAAATAAAACATTATTATGTTTTAATAATCTAAAATAACAGTAAACAATTTAAAAATTGTCATTAACAATAATACTGTAAAAACTTATCTTTAAAACTTTAGGAAAGTAATTTAAAAATTTCTCAAAACTATTAATTTTATAAATCAATTTATGAGAAGTGAAAAGTCTGATAGAAATTACAATTAAACAATTATTAGAGTTATAATAAATACTTTCAACAAAATATTTATTTTTAATCGTTATCAATAAAACAATCTTTATGAGAAACAAAAAAATTGATAAAATAAAAAATATTTTAACCCATTGAATGAACAGTGGATCAAAGCAAATTTATAAAAATCATTTTAAAGAAAATCAAACTGAAGAAAAAAGAAGTTGTTATAGTTGTTTAATAATTGTTATTTTATTAGCATCTTTAATTATTTTATCGTTTCTATTGATTTATGGGTTGCTTTATTTTTTTGAAGATTCTGAATTTATCGGTTTAAATGATGAAGAAATAACTAATTTTAAAGGATGGTGTTTTTTAACAATAGTAGATGTGAGTGTATTTGTTTATTGTATTTACAGATGTTTTACAAGTAAAAAAATTAACAAAGATGATTATTCTAATGGTGCTATTTAAAAATAAAATCTTTAATTAATTATTTGTGTTTGTTATTTAAGAGAATTTTATATTTTATATTTTATTTCAAATTTTAAAGATAATAGTTAGAAAAATTAATATAAATAACTTTTTTGTATTATGTTTTTAATAAATTAGGTTTAGAAGAGTATTTATTTTTAATTTAGTTATTAGTTTTTTAAAAATTTTGTAAGGAATAATAGTTGTTTAATTAACAACCACATCATTTTATTAAAGTTTTTATAAAATTTCTAAAAGTTATTTTAAATAATTTGAATTTAATTATTTTTATAAAACTTAGAAATACTAAATTTAATAGATTAAAATCTAAAGATTATTAAATGAAATACAAATAACAATTTACTGTTTTAGTTTTCTAAAATTAATTAATTTGTTTTAAATTACAATTTTGCTACAATTACTTTTAGAATGAATAACAAATAAAAAATTTATCAAAATAACAAACTATTAATTATTTTTTAAAGAACTGTTTAAAATAATTATTTAATTTATTAGAATCTTTTCAGAAAATATTAATCTCTTCAAAACAACAATAAATCAGAATTTTAATTATGTTACGAATGTGATTAATAAATTTTGTTTGTATTTTTAAATTCTTTTATTAATAAAATAAAAATAACAAACATTTTCACCCTATTTATGAACAAAGAATACATACAACTAAATAATAATTTCTCTAACTCGAATAATAAAGAAAAAATTCACAGTCAATATAATAGTGAATTAGTGAATAAACGGTTTCAACATAGATATCAACCGCGACCTTTATACAATGGAAATCAATCATTCCATCAATGTCCTCATGAAAATGCACAAGATTCTCAAAATCTGAACTTATCAAATACTGATTCTAGAAAAGATCATTCAGATGAAAATAAAAAAGGAAGTTTCTATTGTCGTCATTTTTGGAGAAATTTTATTTTGTTAATAACAATAGTAGTATTACTTTCTTATATTTATTTTTCTTATAAATATATTACATTTAATTTGATGGTTGATAATTTTATATCATTTTGTGAAACTAACAAATTATTTACAGTAGTTTTATCATCTATATTTTTAATAAATTTAGCAATAATGAGTTATTGTATTTATCATTGTTTGGTGGATAAAAAAACTGATATTAAAGATGATTGTTCTGATGATAACTTTATTTAGGAAAGAAGTAATTAATTTTTTACTTATATTTAGGTATTTGTTATTCTCATTCTAAATTTAACTTTACTGTTAGTTAAACTCGTTAATTTAATAAATTATTTTTAATTTTCTTTTATATCTTCTTTGAAATTATATTTTAAATATTCCACTGTTATCAAAATCATCTAAGATAAAATACGTTATCTAAATAGTTTATTTTAAAAGTTAAATTTTTTAATAATTATACTATATAAAATTTTTTAACTGACTAATTAGTTGTAATAAAAAAGTTTTTTACTTATTATAAATTTTGATTTAAAATAGATCATCTGGATTAAAAATAATAAAAATTATTTATTTAAAAACTTAAGATTTTTATCCGTTTAACTTTTATCATAAAGACTACTTAAGACTTAAAAATAAACCATTTTTTACAAAGATCCAAATTATTAGTTTATTTAAAACAAACTTTAAATGTTTAATAATGTTAATATAATGATTTACCTTACAAAATTATATAAAACAATGTATTAAAGGTTTTATATTTAAAATTATATTGTATTAGAATGTTTATATAAAATATAAATAAACATTCTAAAAATTTAGTAAAATAATTATTAGTTAAAAGAATTATTCTAATAAAATTGTTGTTTTAACAAAAGGGTTTTTTTTGTTGTAATAAAATTAATATTGACTTAGTATAATTTTAATATTTAATGAAATGTTAAAGTTATTTATAATAATATTCGTCTTTTGTTTAAAAAATTAGCAAAAAAGTTATAAAAAGCTTAATTGTTTAATTTCTATTTTGTATTTATAAAAAACATTCTTAATATTATCATATAATCAATTTAAAAAATTATGTTATTAATAAAATCATGTATTGGTATTAAATTTCTAAAATCTTTTAATTTTTCATTCTTAAAAATTTTTTATATTTATTAGTAAAAATCGGTGTTTTTAATTTAAATCTTCTTCTGTTATAAATTCTTATTTAAAAATTGTTAAATTATATAATTTTTAAATAAATTTTTAAAAAGATTTTATTAAAAATATAAATATAATCCACAATCTCAATCTGTTTGTTTTTAAAGTTTTATATTATCACTAGTGAATACACTAATCTTATGATTATCCAAACCTCTTCGTTGCGTGTTTCACAACCTTCAATGTTATTTTAAATTTAAAATTAAAACTTAAAGATTAATAATTTTATATAGAAAATCGTGTTAAGAATATTATAAAAGCATTTTATAGAAAAAGGATTATTAAAACATCATAATAAGTATTTTTTTACATTTAATTATTTTATATATTTGAGTAATATTTATATTAAAATTAAATCTAATAAATCAATTATATTATAGATTGAAAATTAAATATATTATTTTTGGAAAATTTTACAAACTATAAGTTTAATTTATTTGTAAAACGATAACAGTGATTGTTTGTATGATTATAATCAACTAAAGAAGGTAATTTTAGTAAAATCATTAGCATAACAAATAACTTAAAATTTTATATTTATTTGCAAGCTAATAATCATTAAACTGCTTTTTACTTTAACAAACAAATTTACTTAAATTAT